GGTTCGATTCCCGGCAATGGAATTTTTTTTGCTACTTGCTACTATTGGCCCTGTTTTCTTTTGCTACTATTTTAATATTATCAGTATTTTCTATATCATACGACATCAAACTGTGACCAATATTCAACTGTTATAGTTTTAAAATTGATTAAAAAGCCCATACTAGCTTCTTATATTTAAAAAACTCTCTCTCCAGTCGACTAAATTAAATTATTTAAAAATGAAAAGGGTTGTTGTATCTCTCTCACCCTCTTCACAACATGTAAAATGTAAACCATATTGTTCACACACACAAAATAAATAAATATGTAAATAAATAAAAATATAAAACCGGCCCTTTGAAACTAAAAATTGAAGGGTTAATCTCAAAAAATAAACCTTATATTTTGTTTATTTTCCGGATTAAACCTCAATTTTAATTTTTTGCTCGAAAAGACCTTGATTTTTTTTTTTTTTTTTTTCAAAAAAGCCAACAACTCTGTACTTTTTTTCGAAAAAAACTCTCAACCTTCTAAATGCTTCCAAATAAACCGTCAACTTTTTTAGTTTTTCTCGAAAAAACTCACATTTTACAAATTGTTTTTGGAAAAAAAATGACTAAAAGGGTTTATCGAAAAAAAAAAATACAAAGTCTTTTTCAGGCAAAAAATAAATTTGAGATTTAATAAAAAAAACACTAAATATAAAGTCTTTTATAAGATTAACCCAAAATTTAAAACTGTCACACTATACCCTGGTAAGACTCAAACTTTTAACTATTTCTACAGATAAAATACATTGTAACCGATCAAATTACGCCTTGGATGCTCTCTATCAAATTTTCATCATTCATAACCGTATTTATCCATATCCCATTTTATTAAATTGAAAACCACAAAATATTCTCCTTTTTCAAAAAACCTTAAACACATACAAATTATCTTAAGACAAAACTTCAAAAATGGTCCCTGTGGTTTTCGAAAATATCAAGTTTAATCCCTAAGTTCAAAAAACCTCACAGATGGTCCCTGTGGTTTCAAAACTTTTAACATTTGGTCATTCCGGATCACTCCGTTACCATTTAGCCGCTAAGTAAGGGGTATTTTTGTCATTTCACTACCCAGGGACCATTTATGAGGTTTTGTATTACTTTTTTTAAAATAAATAAATAAATAAAATTTAATATGTGTCACACCCCAAAACCGGAACGGCAGAATCGTTCGGGGGTGGAGGACGTCATGTACAGTATCACAACAATGCAAAGTAGTAAACAAGCAACAACATCATCCATTGCATTAATAATATAATTTAATACAAGTGTGTTCTGTCAAGTTATATAGACACCAAAAATATACATCAAAATAAAAGATGAGTCTTGAACGAGCTCCATCTTCTCAAAACCTGGCACCGGTACCTGTCTACTGGTGACCTGAGAATACAAGTTATTTTGAAAGAGTTTATCAACTTTAAAGCTGGTGAGTTCATAAGTATATTAGTGTCTGTATTTGTATGAAAGTGTTTGTAAGTTTGTAATGTATAAGTTTGAAAATGTTTGTAAAGGTTTGTAATTGTTTGAACTCCCCTAGAAAACCCTATGTTTCCTACTAAAAGTAGCCTTCTACCAAGGCATCTAGTGTCTGTGTGTGTGTGTCTCTTGTAAGAGTATGTATTTTCCCAAATATGACTATCATGAACCAAAAATATAGTTTTTACATTACTGTTTATTGTGTGAATATCACAAATTGAATGCAATGGGAAAATGAAATAGTACTGTAGTGTGTATTAAGTAACTACTGCTGTACTAACTACCTTAAACCAATTATTATTTAAAGTACCGTGTGATCGGCCTGTATCCTGCTACCGACTATAGAACACGACGATGTAAGACGTCGGAAGAAATGACGTTTGGCACCCATAGACTTGCAAGTCCCACTGTAGCGAGCAACAAGGTGTATGATAGTCAATCCAGTATAGATCTATACACAAACTCATACGCTCCCCACTTAAGGAGATTCTGGATAAAAAAACGGTCATGACAGGTAATGCCATGCCCCGTTACGTGGCTCACATAACTGTAGTAATGTTCTAGTATATGTATGTGCTAGCTGTATTGTGTGTTCTCTCCCTGTCTAGCATGTATGTATATTCTCTCTGTATGGTATTGTTTGTTTCTCATCATAGTATTCTCTATCTGTATGTTATGTTCTCTCTGTATAGTATTGACTCATGTATGAACTGACTCTTTGTATGTTTCATTGTTCTAGTAATAGTATTAGTATCTCCCTAAACTATACCTATTATAGCTTACTAGTAATGTTGTTTGAATGTATGAACATGTGTGTATACCCTTGCTACCCAAAGGTATTGAACTGAATGAAAGAAGGAACCTTTATACCTATATACATATACATAATATATAACTAGGATTCAAACGACCTTCGGACAAATAACCTGAATACCCTAAGTCCACAACCAAACAAGGAACAGGAAGTAAGGTGAGCTATCAGTCCTAAGTCCTTTCAATCCTACTTATATAACTATATCTATATAGGTACACATTTAACAGAAAATAAGTTTAAAAGAGTTTAATAAAAGTATTTGATATGTACAAGAGTTTGTAAAACAGTTTGAAGTAAAACAGTTTGATAACACAGTTTGAAAAGTAAGAAATCCACTTGTTTGGTAGTTATTAATCACATGTGATTGATATAATAACTAAAATTGTTCAACTTGTATTCCCCCCCTCCCCTAAAAGCATTTAAAAACATTTAAAAGGTTAATTAAGGGGTATGAACTCACCTGTAGTGAGTGGTTTGGATGAACTGATTGTTATAGGATGCTAAGTGTCAAATGAAGACTTGAGCACACACGCGGATCCTATTTAACATATAATGATACATATATGAATATAATTAGTGCTTATAACAACTAATTATTGACTTGGAACCACCTTAGGGACTAGTAAACACTTATCTTGAAGTGTTACAACCATATATGATTGTATATAAGGGGTATATGGCTATACAAGGGAGTGTATGGTCAAAATACACACTATTTGTGTGTGTGCGGCTAGGGTGTGCGGCCAGGGTGTGTGTGCGGCCATACTTGGTGTGTGCAGCCGTACACATGGTGTGTGCGGCCGTACACACTTGAAGATCATATGAAATGGCGTTTTTCATGTGTAAATTCAAGGGTCTTTAGCTTATAGCAAGTTACTGCAAGTGTATACCCGATTTAGAGGCTTAAAAGTGTAGTTAGAAGCCCCAAAAGTAGTGTGTGTTCTTGGTGTTCTTGGTGATCTAACACCAAATAGGTGTTTTCATGGATCAAATCAAGGGAAAAGGCTAGTTAAGGTCATGTATTATCTATTCAAAGGATGAATCACTCACTTGATTGAAGATTGAAGTGAAACCTTGGATGATACTTGAGAGAAAACGAGTTCTAGCTTTGAAGAAGTGGAAAAAGTGTTCAAAATGACTAAGTATTGAATATATAGGTGGGAGTGTGCGGTTGGGATGGGTGTGTGGCCGCACACACCTTGTGTTGGTGTGTTTGGCTCAATTGCAAGGTGTTACACTCACAATACTCATCCCACGACTCATACCTTGATTATACTAGGTTTTAACTACTCTAATTGACTCTAAATAGTGCTAGAAAATAGCAAAAACGAGTCTAACCTTCATTGATTTGAATAAGTGTATAAAATAAAAATTTCGGATTGTCACAATATGCAAGGGGTCCCACCTCTCTCTCTCTCTCTCTCTCTCTCTCTCTCTCTCTCTCCACCGCCTGCTTCCTTTCATCTTCATCAGATGGATCTCAAAAACCCAAAATCAAACGGAAATATGTGGCAAAACAAGTTCGTTCATCCCTAAACTATACAGTGAACACAAGAACCCACCCCCAATTTCAACCAGATTCGTTACCTATCGTGATTTGCAGGTTTGAGATTCAACAAAAATCGAGACCCATCGTTGGGTCTCTTTGGTTAACTAATCGCGATTTCAGGATGCACAAGAAGGAAATCGGGACCCTTTGCTGGGTCTCTTGGTCTCAGTTGAAATCAACAAGTCTCGACAATGTGATTCAAGATGGCAGAGGTGGCGATGGCTTACCAGCAGCAGCAGAACGACGGTGGCGGTATGTAGCTGGGGGCTGCTCCGGTAGCCTTCTGCTGCTCTATTTCTGTTTCTGTTCCAGTGAGTTCCACAAGAAGGGATAGGGAGAAGCAACGACAGGTGGCTGGAGGTTGTGTGGGTGGTTTATTGAAAGAAGAACAACGGTGGAATGGTGGCAGTTTTGTGGCAGTGGGTGGCAGCCCTCCTGTTGGCTTTTCTTGCTTCTAGTGGTTCACAACACGGAAGGAAAAGGGAAAGTAGTAATAGGTTTTCAAGGGTGTTTGTCAACTTGCTTGAGAGAAAAGGAATCGAAGGAGGAGAGTGTGGTGGTTTATGGCGGTGGGGCTTGGTCGACCAAAACGGTGGTGGCAGCAGGTGGTGTGTGGACAGTGGGAAGTGGTAGAGTGTGACCGGAGAGGAGGCCAGAAATTGGTATCTCCGGTGGTTGTTTCTTCCACCGGTGAATCGGAGACGAGAGACGAGAGAGAGAGAGATGAGAGAGAGAGAGAGGAGAGCGAGGAGAGAGAGAGAGAGAGAGAGAGCCCCTTGCATATTAAATTTTATTTATTTATTTATTTATTTTAAAAAAAGTAATACAAAACCTCATAAATGGTCTCTGGGTAGTGAATTGACAAAAATACCCCTTACTTAACGGCTAAATGGTAACGGAGTGAGCCGGAAGGACCAAATGTTAAAAGTTTTGAAACCACAAGGACCATCTGTGAGGTTTTTTGAACTTAGGGATTAAACTTGATATTTTCGAAAACCACAGGACCATTTTTGAAGTTTTGTCTTATCTTAATGATGATCTCTATAATCATGGGTAGGGTACATAATACATTCAAGTTCAATATTCTCATAACTTTTATCATTTTATGAAACTCAAATGCAACAAATCACTTGCTACACACGATAACCCTAACCAAACAAGATGATATTGTACTGTGTTTGACATTAATTGTGTTTGACATTAATTGGACCGAGTTTGACACATAATTTGCAACTTTTTATGAACACCCAAAAGGTGGGATATGGACATGCTCTCAACTCAATCTCTCCTATGTAGAAAAGACGTAAATGCCCTTCTCATCTTCATTATCGAAAATAGCCCTAGATTCAATGGTCATGTATTAGCAAATGAATAGTTGATAGTCCGGCTTTGCAGTGCCCACATTTAGGTAGTTTACATCAACTACATTATCCCCAAAATCATCTGCCAAAAGAAAACAAAAAATTTAAATAATTTATAAACTTATTAGTATTTTTAGTCAAAGTCAAAACACAAATTATGTAAAAACTTTTTAACCTTCATATATTGTTCTTGCATATTTTACATAGTTAGGTATGATGTCCCGATATATAATTCCACCAGGATGCGCATCCAATACCACTAACACTCCTGTCAATAACATAATGAAAGTCAAAGACACAAAGGGTAAATTGGTCAAAAGACGTAAATACCCTCATCCTCATTACCAGGTGCAGACCAAGTGTTGGTGGAATCACTTGGCAAAGGGGCTAGCCAAAGAATGTTCCTCAAATTCATCGAGTCATCATATGTCACATTAGAACCTGAAAGTATTACCAAATTATTAGAAATTAACTTGATGAAATTTAATATTGTATATAGCCTTAAAAAGCAAAAGGGGAAAAGAATATGACCTTTTTGGCAATAACCCATGTTGTATGGGAACACTTTCTTATCAAATGCAGGGTATTCTTTGGCATGAAACCTTTCAATATATGACCCATAATAGTCAATCAAGATAAAAAGGAAAATCAAAAATAGATATTTAATAACTTTCAACTTACAAAATACCAACTCTTCCATCTGCAGCAATGAAAAGATGACCATGAAAGAAGTCAAATCGATTTAATGATACATTTAACCCAACTTTAGGACCACGAGCAGCAATAAGTTGGAACAAAAATTCCATGTATGAATTCAATTCCTGTAACATGTTTGAAGAAGAAGAAGATTAAAGTACAAAAATGAAAATAAGCCTTCATGTAATTGAACTGAAAACCTCGTTTATAAAGTGTCTTCCATAAGGATATCTTGTAAGTTCACATCGATTTTCATTTGAGCCTTCACAATCAGGTACCTGTGATATAGTTAAAGGAAGCTTCAATTACATTCCATTTTTGTACTTCTGGAAGAAATAGAGTGAGCACATTGAGTGATTGAGGTCCGAGTATGAAGCTATTTGATTACAGAACATTGCTAATTTGTAACAGTTGATACCTGCTACACAGTTCTAAGCATAGCCCTTTTTGCATAGGAGTTGGAAAGATTGTAACAAATTTGGATATGGAAAAAGGTCTCGATTTTATCATAATAAGGAACATTGATGATGAAGAAAAGGTAAGGGAATACAGAAACTCACGTAGATCATCGTGGGATCAAGGGTGCCTTGAATAGAACCTGGATCGCCACCAGAATCAAAAGCAAGTCGAGCAATCTCCAACACAGGTGCCGGTGGTGACCAGATAAGGTCATTCTGATAACCCTCAGCGTCATGACGGGGTTTAGAATTCAGCGTGCGCCGCGGAAATCGAATTCCCGATTCGGTTAGGGATTGGCTCAGCCGATTTATTAAATTGAAACGAGAATCAGGTGGAGTGTTGGTAGTAGGGTTAAAAGGAACGATGAACTTGAAGCAGGATTGAAGTTCAGCAGCAACTTGGGGGTCGACGGATGCAGCCTGCTGAGGTGTGCCAAGGAGAGCGAGTATGTCTCCAGCGGAGGCGGTGGTCGCTGAGGGTTTCTTGGAGTTGACTTTCGGAATTGAGATGGAATGATAACGGGGGTTGGGGGTTGGGGGAGAGTAAGACGAAGAAGAAGCAGTGAGAGAGAAAGAGAGGATGAATGCTATTTTGAGGGGAAGTGATGATAATGGCGATGGAGTCCACATGGTTGTTCTCCCTCAAATTCGTGCTCTCCTGTTTGTCTTGTCAAAAACACCATTGCAATACAACAACCAGTTGAGTAAACGATTCATCTAGCTTGGTACCAAACCATGGAAAAAAGAAAAGAGAAAAGAGGCACTCCAACATGTTTCAAAATGGTTAAAAAGATAGACAAAATTGCAAAAATGCATTTTTTTTATTTTTAATTTTATTTATTTATTTTTTTTTTTGGTGTTTTAGTCCAAACTCTGACTTTTTTGGATTGGTGGTCCTTTTGAGCTACTTTGCTTGCAGTTTTGGTCCCTGTCCAAACTAAAAAGACTATTATACGCTTAATGAATTTATTTTTCATTTTTCTTTCACTTTTTAATATTATTATTATTATTATTAAATATAAAAGTGGGCCCACACACACACACACACACACACTCTCTCTCTCTCTCTCTCTCTCTCTCTCTCTCTCCCCATAAACCATTTTCCCCAACTCTCACCTAGTTCTTGAATTCTTGTTCATGCTATTTCCCCTCCCTTACCCGATGAACCTCGATAATCATTCCATTGTCGGGAACTTGACCATCTCCTCCATTGAAACCCTTAGACCAAACTACCGCAATGAAACCCACCTAAAATATCAAGATTTAGGGTTTGGTTATCGACAGGGAGGAATAAAAAAGGGACGACAACGATGTTGTTAGGTTTACTGGCAGGTGATGGTGATGTTCGTCGTTAACAGATGTCAGCGGTGATCTATTTTTCGTTTTTGGAAATCAATTCACATGGAAATCAATTCACAGGTTTGCACTTTAACACACACCGACACACACACGAACATTCATTGTTCTGGGTTTGCTCTTCAAGAGCAACATATGAAATTGATTGAGAAGTTGAAGACATATCAGGGGGAAAAATGATTTCGAATCTGTCAAGATTTAACCACGTTGATCTCTCAAGATCCAATCTCGGTAAGCCCTAATGCAATATGAAATTAATTTCGAATCTGAAATTGATTTTACGTGTGAAATCGAACCATGGATATCCTTTCTTTATCTTAGATGGATCGATTAATAGGTGTGTGTGTGTATGTGTTTTCGATTGCAGCTCTCAATGATCCTCTATTTCTTATTTGATTTTGAACGAGAAGATGGGACATAGACGGAGATTCGATGTCTTTTTCTTCTTTCTTTGTGAAATTGATAAGCAGGTCTCAAGTTGTGGTGGTTACACAATCACGAGGAGGGGTGCCGACAAAAGGCTATCCCCGGAGCCTTCATTCCTTTTCTGTTGTGATCGGCAGAAAAACGTAAAAAAGGATGGAAGTCTTCGATCCTCTATTGATCCGAGAAGAAGGAAGCATTAACGGAAGCGGCAGTTGGTGGCGACAGATGTGTTGGTGGTGGCGATGACATCCCCTTGGCTCGCCAGTGGAGTTGTTGTTCTTGATGGTCACCGGAAATGCATCCACCTCCGATGGTGTTTTTACCATAAAAATGAAGAAGAAAAGGAAGAAATAAAAATGGGGGGGGGAGAGAGAGAGAGAGAGAGAGAGAGAGAGAGAGAGAGAGAGAGAGACAGAGAGAGGTGGACCCTATAATTTTTATTAATAAAACTTTAAATTAAATAGCAAAAATCATAAAAAATGTATGAGAAGGGCATTTTAGTCTTTTCAGTTTTCTGGGGGACCAAAAACGCAACGAAACTAGCTTAAAAGGACCACCAATCCAAAAAAGTCGTGGTTTGGACTAAAACCCCAAAAAATTGCATACCACAGGGACCATTTTTGCAATTTTGTCAAAAATATATTATCTAAGTAAAGTATGTGTACTAAAAACACCAATAAATTATACCATTTGTTCAAATGTTGACCAATAGTAACCGGCTTTTTGCAGGTTAAAGGATGATTTGACCTAATTCTTGTAATAGTTAGTGACATGACAATGATCGATTTAAATGAAGAGAGAGGAAGTTGGTGACATAAGAAATTTCACATTGTCTTGGAGGGAGGAGGCGTGAATGTAGTTGGGTGGAGCTTGCCTGGAGGTTGGACCTCTACAATCAATCTGAAGTAATGAGTGAAGGGTTTCCGGTTTTTCTTGATCATTGCCATAAACATCTACCTCAAGGCGTTGACGAATCCGAGTGGTGGACAACCATTGCAAATGGACGTTATACCCCAGGTTCAGCTTCAGAAGGGCGCATTCGTTCACCAATCCACGGATTCATCCACCGATTGATAGCATTCTCCATCAATCAGAAGGAGGGAGACCACATTCATATGCTTGATATATTCTTTTTTATGGTGTATCATCACACCAAATACTTTTTGCCACTTACCATACTGTGTGGCATATTTCCTTACAGAGAAAGTTGGGGAAAATAGGCCGGGGGATCCTATTTATGGAGAGATGTTGGTGACAAAGTTGGCCCGGTCTTAAGGAATCTTAGATGCTTCTGAGGCATGTTTTCTTACAGAAGTGCATAGTCGCCTGTTGCAGCCTCGATTATTCAAGACTGCACACATTGTTTTGGATTTGGGGGTGGAAACTACACGATTCTCGATGATGATCCGGTTGAGGCACCACAAGGGCGCCGGAACGTGAGGCCAAGAGTAGAGGGAGAAGAGCCCATTAGAGATGGGCCTATGATTGATGAGCTTCTTATGGACCCATATCATGTCATGGCTAGGCGATATGATGATGATGTAGGAAGGGGGCTAAATTATGTGGGGTATAGCTTGGAGGCGATTATGCATCATCTTGCAATTACACCTTCTGCTGGACTGCCGAATCATTATACTTATATTCCTACTTGGGAGGAACGTTGGGCAGAACATAGAGGAGGTGCAGGCACTAGCATGGCTGGAGATGGAGATGATGATGAGGATGACTGATTATCCTTGCTTTTGTTTTTATTTGTTGATGTTTTAAGACTATTTAAGTTTGTGTGTTTAATTTGTAGGATTTAAGTAATTAGGATTTGCGTAATTTATATTTTGTACTTGTTTTTCCTTTTTATTACTCTTTTCTTTGTGTCTTTAGATCCTGCAGAAGTTTGGTTGGTGAGAAAATACATTAGAAAGTCCTGAGAACATGACTAAAAGAATAAGTGCATGGTGAGATTTGCGACTTGAAGAAAGATTTTGAGCAAAAGATGTGCTTTATAAGCCATATTTACTGGAAGACATAATTTTACATCCTAATAAGAGGGGTATACCACCTTGGTATTACCTTTTCTAACCAGATTTGTGATTGGACAAAAGACATATTTTTTTGAAGATACAAAAGCCACGACGTGGCCATTATATGCCACGACGAGGCGAAGGCAGAATTCGCGATGATGTTCCAGTACCATAGAAGCGCACGACGTGGCATTATCAACTTTTTGAGTTAGTGTTTCATCACCAATTGGAAGTCCGTTGTCTTGGCGTGTCAGAGATCATTCATGTAGTGGTCCATAGTCTTTCTTTCCAGCTATTTCACGAGATGTCAGCCGCACAACTTTCGATTTCGACCTCACCACTTCTATCCCAAGGGAGATGTTCCAATTTCTCTATTTACTTTTATGTTCTTTATTTGTCTTAAGCATTCATTGAGGACATTACATGAATTAAGTGTGGGGTAGGGGGTTGAATATATGAATAACAATCATGCTGAATAAAAAAAAATATAATAAAAAAATGACTAGGATAAATTTTTTTTAGAGAGACTTGAAATAATGGTCTAAACAAATTAAATCTAGTAAAAAATGTAACACCCCGACTCCCAGATATAAAATTTAAAGCTTATATTCACATTCTTAGACCTACTTGACGAGTTGGATGCCCTAACTCGTCGTGTAGAAGCAGATCAGTCCGCGTGATTTATGCGGTCTACTCGACGAGTTGGAGGACCCCAACTCGACAAATAGGAGCTGGAAAATGAAAGCCTAATTTGCAGATTTTACACCCTATTTAAAGGGTCATTAGCTTCCCTTACCGTCCCGCTTGAGCTCAGAAAACCCTAATCGCATCTACTCTCCATTTTTGTGTGTTAAGAAGCTTGGAAGGTGGATTATGTGAAGAGAGCTTGGAGCAAGGAGAAGTTGGTGGATCTGATTTCTACTTCAGCTTAGCATCATCTTGAAGGTAACAAGTAGTTACCTTGACTTTTCTCTAGCTAGACTCTTCATGCAAAGGTTTAGGGCTATTTCTAGTTGTTGTGAAGTTATTTCTGGTTTTGGGTGTGATCTGAAGTTGTAACTTCAGATCTGGACTCCTCTATCCCCTTATAGTCATAAAGTTCTAGTCTTTAGCAAGTTATGGCCTTCTCCTTACCTAAAACCTCTTCCTTAGCTTGGTTTTGGCCTTTTAAGACCTTGCATGCATGTAAAGTTTGCAACTTTACGTGGTAACTATGCCTTAGGAAGCTAGATCTACAATTTGGAGCTTTGGGATAGCTTAAAAACGTCTGAATGTTAAATGGACTGAAGGGACTCGACGAGTTGCATGGTCAACTCGACGAGTCAGATGAAGATTGGCTGTCTTTGGTTTCTGCACGGACTTCACGAGTCAGTGAGATGACTCGACGAGTTAGTTAGGGTTTTTTTGATCGACAGTTGGACACCACATGGACTCGACGAGTTGTCTGGAAACTCGGCGAGTCGACTAGGGTTTTCACGACTTCTTGAGTTCTGAAGGAAACTCGACGAGCCGGTGGGTTACACTCGATGAGTTGGGTCAACATGGACTGTTGGCCTTGACCATTGACTTTGACTTTGACCAAGGGTTGACCAGTTTGACTTCTGAGGGTATTTTGGTAATTTGGGTATTTATGGAAGTGGATCGTTAGTGGTTGTAGGTGTAGGTGTTTGGAGCCGTGATTTGGGAGTTTGATATTTCAGTTTCGATCGACATTGTGAGGTGAGTTCTTCTCACTATATCAACAGGGTCTAAGACACCAAGGCCGACCCTTTATGATTTGTATCCTGGTTATAGGATGGTTGCTATGTTAATGATCTATTAGATCGATATCCTGGTTATACGATGGTTGCTATGCTAGTGATCTGTTAGATCGGTATCCTGGTTATAGGATCATGTTATGTTAGTGATCTGTTAGATCGGT